GTGTGACAGAATGCAGAAATCTAGCTTTTGAACATATTCCAACCCCCCAAAAAAGACAAATTATGGAATTTTCTGCAACTGAATATTTCATTAATTTTGGTTGGTCTTCCTTGAGTTTGGCCTCATTGGCTCAGTGGGCATTATAACCTACAACTCTTGCACCAATTTTGAACATAACAATGAAGCTGAAAAAATGTAGTTGTTCACCAGCATCGCAATTCCATTACTTTTTATCATGGCTTACCTTGGTGTGGTTTGCAAAGTGCTTCAGAAAGATGAGGAAATCTGTTTCTTGCACCCATCCTGATTTATTTCCACTACCAGTACTTCCTACTGGTCCATCTCTGACACAGTGGTCTGCATAATGTATGTGTGGGAACACAAACAGTGGAGGAATTGTGTTGCCAATGGCATTAACCGCATATACAAATGCGACCAGTGAACCTCTCTCTGCTGATGTCGTTGCCCCAACTTGTTTAATATAAGTTAAAGTAATAGTGTGGTAAGTTGTAACATCTGCATTGTACACTAACCCAACTGCTGTACTACAGATCCTAAGCCATAGCCAACTACACAGAATTCATAGACATCATAACATAATTTAAGTTTGATGAGTTTAACTGCAAAGCAGATAATGCTATTAGAAATTGAAATAAAGTAGAAAAACTTACTTTTTGGCATACAAATACTTTTTTTCGTGTTAAATTGTCTGTGTTTGACAAAATGTGCTGATTTTTCACATGTGATAGCAGAACTGAATTGGGCATGCACAGGATGAATCACATCATTTGAAACTTAGCCCTGATTGGAGAAACTTGGAAGTGTTACAACTGACCCACGTTACAACTATCCCCGGTCTGCCCTATGCTTCTGACATCCGTGTGCTTCTGGCAGCTGCTGCTTACCCTGCCCCGATTACAACATTTGAATGAGTGAAATAGTAAAACAGTGTAGGAGCATAAAATTATAAAGGCACGTGAGCTCCCATTTCAGTGAATGTGGGACGTTGTAGCGCACGCCCTGGACCACTATCTCTGAAACGTGATTCTGTACTGTTCCCTGGTAATAACGTCCGGTCAGAGACGTAGAATGATGTCAGACTGGAAGAACTTTATTTACAACGAGCCCACATCGAACACGCACTCTCACTGGCGAGTAGGGACGTGGTTCTGCAATTAATAAAAATAAGAAATAACATAAACAAGACTCTAACTTGTTTTAGTCACATTTGTGATCACTGTGTGGTTTCTGTCTTATTGTTGAACAAGGCTGTGTTCTTCATTGTGTGTAGTTGAATGTGTGCGGTTGACAGTTTCCAGTTGTGCACAGGCTCCTTGGACTGTGTGATTTTACTTTGAATTGTGTACTGTGTATGTGGGAGAATACCTTTAAGGTTTATGTTGAAGAGTGAATCTGTTTCAGTGCAGCTGGTGTACTTTCTTCCTCCTTCTTGTTGTCACACTCAGACTTTTAACGTCCTTGATCTTTGCATTAAATCAGCTGGTCCTGATAATCTGCTCCTGCCTTCCAGTGAGAGGCGATCAGGTGACCAGATGTTGTCTTGCAGGTGTCGATTGCATTTCTGTGAGAGCGGAAATGTTACATCATCACCTACAGTTGGACGAATTGTGGTTGATTAAAAACTAGAAAAGGTAGAAAGCCACTGCTGGTTTCAATTTCACAGCGCCTGTGATGCTCACCGCTTTGGTATTTAAAGTGACATTTGCCAAAACTCTAGCTGACTGTAATTGAGACCCCACTCAAACACATTCTCCAGTGTGTGTGTGTGTGAGAGAGAAAGGAGGGCGGTGCCATTGAGTAAAGTGTTTTTATTTCTCTAAGTAGTTTAATTCATGGTTAAGTACCACATTAACCACAGCACCAGCTGTTTACACAGTTATTTATTGGTCTGTTAAAGCCTGCTGAGGGGAAACTGTAGAGCAGAGAGGGCCACAAACTGCCCACTTTGGTCTCAAGTGGGTTAAATCACTGCAACTCTGTCAGTGTGAAATGTTTAACTACAGCACCATCCTATCATTACTGTTGTTTTTTCTTCAGCACACATACAGTAACAGGATAAAACGACTTCCTGCCAAAGTGTGATCCCCCCGTCTGACAGGCAGCAGCAGCAGCAGCAGGCGATGTACTTTCAGTCATGCTATTGTTACTCTTACCAAAGAGCTGATATATTATGGTCACACTTCTCTCTGTGTAACAGCACAGTTCAGCACAAATGCACACCAACAAACAAACAAAACTTAATAAAACACA